GAGTTGCGGGGATCCGAAGAGCTGTCGGTCTCTGCTCAGACACGGTTTCCTCAGGCTCATTTTATTCGAGTTGAGCATCCGCCTGATGACCGAAATCTCCGTGACCATCCACGAGCTGAGTGCGACTTGGGATACCATAATGCCAACAGTTCCCCAAGTTGCTACCCTCGTGTCATTGAGTTCACCGTGGTCAGAGCTCGTGCACTTGCTCACGAACTTACGAAAAGACATCCCACCCGGGCGCGACTGATCGTCATGCGCAGGGCAGCAACGGCGCCGGCGACAGATCAATTCAGCTTACGAGGGTTAAGCTCTCATAGTGAAGCATTAGAATCAGCGCATGAACTTTGCATTCGTCGGAACCTTCCGCAGTTGTGAAGATAAGATTAAAGGAATGCCTAGTCGAAGAGGACATTGTGAAAAGAAGGTACTCGTATCCTTCGGAACCTCTCGCGATCACTGATATGAGTTCGGAAAAAGAACTGAATCTCGAAGAAAAAGCCTTTTCTATTCCTTCGGAACGTGTGATCGGTATTTCCGCCGGAAGGAATTTTCGGCGTACTGGGTTTCGGCTACCTCAACTTTCGGCGTACTGGGTTTCGGGTAGACGAATTTCGGTGTTCTGGGTTCCGGCGTTCCAGGTTTCGGCTTTCTGGGTTTCGGCGTGAAAGTTTCGGCTTACTGGGTCTATACCCTTACGAGAACGGTCTATTCGGTTTACTTGATTCAATATACGAAAAATGTCCAGAGTGTGAACAATGCTTCTTGTATGCTCCCCATCTGAATCCTCAAGACGAAACACACAGATTTAATAGTGATGCTGGGTTGCAGGCTCACGTTAATGTCATAAGAATGGTCATGATCACACAACAATCGGAGATCTATCATGGTCAAATGCCACGGTCTCATTCCACAGAGGAGACGAAAAGACGATCCATTGGTCGTATATCTTCCCAGTTTTCCATTCCCCCGGGGAATCGCATGGTTTCATCCCCAGGGTTTTCGGCTTGTCCCCCGGGCGCCGCGCCGGCTACCCTTCGTCGCAGTACTCTTTTGAATAAATCGCACATGATTTTTTCGAGGCCATCGAGTACTGGAAAATCATGAATGAGAAGCTTGAGAGGATTCCAAGGAACGAGAAGAAACTGCTCCAGTTCAGTATCATTGACGGTGCGATCTGGATCCCATGAGCGACTCGCAGAAACGTGCAAAGTTCAATTTGATTCGCGGTGAGGATCCGTCTGGCGCGCCTCCGTAGTCTCTTCAGACTGCGGTAGAACCGCTCTCCAGCAGATACAACGAGCAGGAGAGCGTAAATCCTGTGAAGTGCATTGATCAAATTATAGAGGTCAGGACTGCAACCCAGCTCGTACGCGGTCATGGGTATTTCCGTCATGAGGCGGATACTGTATTCGAATAAAATGACCTTGAGAATCCCAGAAAGCTTCCGGTCCAATTTCACGCACAGGACGTCAGCTCCGCGGCACTTCAAAGTCGTTTCCTCCACTCTCAAGGTCTCGAGCGTAATATCGACTTCCTCCGCGCTGGACAGAAGCATGATAGCAATTCCCAGATATATGAGGAAGGTCTCCAATCGAGCCAGGGGGGTCCCGAAGAAGTCTGAGTAGAGCCAGAAGATTCTCCAGGGCAGGGGATCTTCCATATGGACAACGCCCGTGAAGTATAGGACTAAAGTCACCGCAAACATGCCAGTATGGAGTAGAGCCTGCGCAACACAGCAGCGGTTCGACCAACGATTCGTAATTGGGGAATCATCGGCTTGGAAAGTCATCAGATTCTTCAAGCACCAGATGTAAATCACATTCACATGGAAAGCATCGTAGAAGTAGTAGGACATTCTGAAGGATCGAGAGAGGCAGGTATAATAATTCGCGAGGTGAAGCAGTAGGAGAAAACATTGGGCGAAGTTGAGCACCCCACAAAAAGCCCGAACCGAAGTTTTGGAGCGGCCCGATACGCCTAATATTTGGAGGCCGATGTTGAAGAGGCTGATGGCAGGCATGATCTCTCCTGAGCGGCGCGACGCTAAGATCGGATGTGACTTATCTTGGGACGACTGTCCCCTCAAGAGGGACTTTGGGGAGCGAGTGGCCCTCGAGTTTCACACGAGAACGCTCAACTCATTGCCAAGGATCGAACGTTGCCGGGAGACCTGCCTTCTCCGAGAGGAAGGCTTGCGGATGCGACCGAGAGAGAACTTCTCGCGAAGGATTGGAGCCTTCATCGATAAGTCTCCTTTCATATAGGAATCAATTTAGATTGAAGTCCGGCTCGATGCCACAGCTGCTCTCACAATTGATGACCTTCTTCTCGCGGAAAATGGACTCCGTCTCTCCATTGTCGAGACGAGATCCCAAGATCATCCCTATTGATCACTTTTCGATCGACGCTGATGGCGATGCATAAAGAAGTCACCTCCCTGTTTCTGCGAGCGGCTACGAAGCTCTCACTTCGGAAGCGGCGGGAATTGCGGGAGCCGCGACATTCCCGCTCCGGATTCATTCGGTTTAGTGGTTTCCGGAGCCTGGGAGCTCTTGCTTGTAACATGTCATTATCAGGCCGAGTTTCGCCTCCTCTCAGGACGTCCTTCTACTTCCACTGGTACGCGGCGAATCTCGGATAGGAGCGCTGTGCATGATAATGGGGTGGGGAGGGACCAAGTCGATTGCAGGGCGAAGGATCGAGAGGGAATAATTGTGGCCGAATGCTGCTCTGTTTATTCGTTCGGCACTAATTTTCGAATTTCAATACTTCATGGTTTCGTCCACTTCATCTGAGCTTCTTCTCGGTCCACCGGCTCGAAATCTGCATCGTCTGCGGAAAAGGGGACGACACAGGAGCAAGTGAAAAGTTTTAGCATTCGGAAGTAGAGGTGATTTTGCTCTGATACAGCTTTGTTCAGGGTAAATGTGCCCTCATAGATTTCTTCCGGACCGCGCTCGATTTTCTTGTAGCGAGGTTTCGCCTTCATGATCCCAATCGCATACTTCACGCAATGGACATCATCCACGACTTCTGACTCCAGGTAACGAGAGAGAACAAGAACCGGTCTGACGCCGGCTAACACAAAGTAAAACTCTCGCGAGTTCTGGCCTACCATCCGAAATTTTTTACTGAGAACACGTCGTTCACTCGTTTTCACGATTTCGTTGTCGCCGGAGGTACATGCTATGGTATCATGGTATCTTCCCCTGCTTCACTCCGAAGATGTGTTTCAAATACTAGATGTATGCATCATAGTGATTGCTCTTGATATAAATTATTCATGGTGTTTCTTGGGCATCGCCGGTCTCGACTGACCCTCCTTACTGGAAACAAATGAATCTCCTTGCTTCAACCCGAGGCTGACTCATCCTCGTAAGTCTCATTGAGAGATTCAGGGCCACAGGAGGACGCAGGAAATCTTTTCCCCACTCTGTTTCCGTGGAATGATGAGTTCCTCGCGATGGCTTATATTGTGATACGTTTCGCGAGACTATTGGCCAGCTGTGCTCCCTTGGGAGCCAAAACGAATTGCGTGATTCTCCAATAGCCGTTAATTGGGCTTATCCTTTCATAATCGTAAGCTTTAAGCGAGGAATCGTCCGCACAGCTCAAAACGAGAAGAACGTCATAACGAAACAGGTTGAGCGGGATCCGCGCGGAACATCAACGGTGAGACGGTCCAGAAAACGCCACTTCGCTGCTCTTTGATTATTATCAGCTGCTCTCCCGATTGAATTCCATGATTCCATTGATCATCTATCAGTCTATCATCAGTCGTCACACACTGGTTTAGCGCTGAACAAGTATTGATAAGTCATGAAAGAAAAACTGGAACAAAACCCCAATAAACTCCAGCAGCCCCGGAAGTTGACAATCGTAGAGGGCAGCACGTGGAATCCATGGTCTACACGAAGGAAAAGTTGGAGCTCGTCTTGACTCACGAGAAGTGATTTCCTCACTCGTTTTCGTAGCTTGCACAAGCTGCGGTAATATATGTCACCGGCTTGGAGGACGATCAAGCAAGCGTGGAGTCGAGCGATCGTTTCGATGATGAGGTACTCCGCAGTCTTGCAAGTGAGCTGGTTAATTGTGATGGGGATCTGCGTCAGCAGGCGGAAGCAAAAGTCTACGTATACGAACCTTACGATCCAGCCAAGTTTTCGTTCCAAATCGAGATTTGCAATCATTTTCTCACGGCAGATTTTGTGCAGCTCGGCTTGACCTTTCGGTCGTGAGCGCGATAGCATCTCGCCTAGCCAAAGTGCTTCCGATATGAGCGGAGCAGCGACTGCTAAGCTCGCTACGATTACTTGTGATCGGGAGAACATCAATCCAATCGTCTCCGCAAAAATTGCGAGGACGAGCCACGAGACCGAGCGGTCAGCGGAACTGTCCGTATCGTAGAGCAGGCCGAAGGCGACCAGAGAGAGCAGGATCAGAGCAGCTTGGATCGTACCGTGAATGTTCGTGAATCGCATCGCGCCCACATGATACGCTTTCGACGATAGGATCGGCTTCAAATAGCTCAAACAGCAACAGTAGACGATGATGACGTGGACAGAATCGTACAGGTAATGAGAGACCATCATCGCTTGTGCCGATCGGTTCAAGGTCAGGACGGAATACGTGCTCGTGTAGAAGACAACAAGGGCGTCGTTGACGAACAGGATGAGTCGATGCCAATAGTAGGAAGTGGCGCTTAGTCCGGTGAAAGCCGCGAAGAAGCCCAGCAAGTTGAACTGATACATAGTCTGACGACTAGAGCAACTAATCTACGGAGAGCTCGTGCAAGACTCTGGATTCATTTCAATCCAGGCTACGCTTAAGAAGCTCCCGCGGACTCGTCACTCGTGTTTAAAAGTCGATAATCGATGCTCGGACAAAGAGTCTTGGATTCTCTAAAGCTCATAGAGAGAGCAATTTCGAGTCAGAACATTTTTTCCGAGTCCGAGGAAACGTAATTTTTAACCGCGTTGTGAAGAGTCGCGGCCTCCGGCGCGAGAAATCTGGGCTAACTCTCTTTATTTTTCGCTCTTCGTGATGTACGAGGCTGCGAAACCTGTCGGAGGCTTGACTTGCTCTGGATAAAGCTTTTCGACTTCTTTCACGAAGAGCCTAATGTCCTTCTCGAGTAGATCAGGCTGCTCGAAGGCGGCGAAATGACCCCCGTCTTTCTGGTAGGTCATCGTGGTGATGTTTTTGAGGGTAGTCGACGCCACGAACTTCGGCACGCAAAGCACTTCATTTGGGAAAACGGCGTACCCCGTCGGAACGAAAACGGGGATCCTGGAAGGGAAGTTCGTCGCAAGTGACAGTAGAGGAATTCCATCCGAATCATGATCCCACCAATTGTGAGTCTTGATTTTTTCCGAACTCACTTCGAAAGCTCCACCGCCACACCAGTCGCGAAATTCTCGCGGTAGTAACGCTGCGAAGAAATTATGGAGCCCGTAGCGTAGTATACCATGATGTTCGTCAGTATGTCATCCACGGTGAACTTCTTGCCGTGCCCTCCATCATCCAGAAACCGAAAGTCTGGCTGGGTCCAGGTGGAAAACTTCTCGGAAATGTAGGCAGCAAGCCCGGCCGGAGAATTGAGAAGGGAGAAACCTGGTAATCGGAAATCGTCAGATCTGGGAGATACCGGCCGATTTCTCCGTTGACATGAGACAGTGTATATTATGACGCTCATTGATTATTCCGGGCCGGGGGAACTTCATGTACGTCTCGTGGAAGGGTGGACTCACCCACGGTGTCGGGCTTTGTCGATTGGAAATGCATGTATCCGGCCTCTCGGAGGACATCGACGACACGCTCCGTGTAGGGTACCATCATGCACTTAGGCATCTGTCCGTCGCCGAAATAATTGGGGAACAAGCCGAAGAGCGTTTGTTTGGCGATTGCTATGGCGCTCAAGGAGTCCGCGAACACCATGTTCATGTGAATGCCTCTCAAACTTGAGAACCACGGGGAAGGGAATTGGAAGAGGGATTCGTCAACGAGACTGTACATTCATCCTGTGGAATTTATCGAGCGGTATATTCTTGGAATAGGGAGAGAGCGAATCTGCTCACTTTTCCGGATAGAAGATGCCCATCGCGTTCGCGATTGCTGCGCCCCAGTCGCCGCCCTGGACGTAGTATTTGGAATACCCGAGTCTTTTCATTAATTTGCTGAAAATCCGAGCGGTGACTGCGATATCCACGCCTGTGAGAGCGGGAAATTTAGGGCCTGCCATCTTGCTTCGATGGCGTCGCTCCGTGTCTCCTGACAATGCGCGGAGGTAAATGAGGGACCGGAATTCTCGCGGAGGAATACGCACCCTGTTTCTTCGCGGGATCGGAGTACCCGTATCCCGGCAAGGACGGGACGATGATATCGAAAGAGACGCCATCCTTCGCTTCGCTTAGGAGGGGGGTGATTTTCAAAAACTCAACGAAAGATCCCGGCCAGCCATGAATCATTAAAATAGGGATGACTTTGATCTTTGGCCCTGGTTGAGGAAGACTTCGGAAGAAGTGTATATTGAGACCTTTTGGAGAGAATTGAGGCATTAGCGATCTCCACTGGGGAGCTATGGACCTTCGCAATTTTCCCGCGCAGTCTCGATAGAGGAACGGTACCCGCCTCCACTGACACCGCTTGGGTCAATTGATTGCCCGGAATATCTCCCGACATCTCGATACTCAGATCATTGCTTATTAGTCGAGGAGTATATGACTCGTCATCTGTGGGTATACTGAATTCCCACGGAGATTCCGGATACGGTCCGAATATTTTTTCGAACTCATACCAGACCGAATACATATCATCAGCGTTGTGAATGACGATCAGAGGTTAGCTAGGAGCTTCTACCGGTCACTCCGCACCGAAAAGGATCACCGAGTTGTTGACCCCTTCCAGGAGAGCTTTGTACCCGAATCGAGATGGAGTGTTCACATACCTTCGATCTCGGTTTTGTAATGAGGAAAAGCATTGATCCTTTGCTGAGCAGCCGCGAAGTCGAATTTCGTTCGCCAGTGTTCAATTATATCTTTGAAACTCCTGAGATTCACTCCGTAGTGATAAGCTGCGTCTTCTAAGGGATCGAACCACTTGGTTCGACTCAGCTCTTCTCGGAGCCCGGCGATCATCTTCGCATCGAATTCGATGGAGAACTTATCGACGCTCTCCTTGTCCTTCGGCAACGCCGCTCCTGAAAAGGCGTAAGAAATTATCACATTGGAACTCGATTGTTCGCTCGATTCCTTGTGCCGGCGCGCCTAATCAACTTTCAAGCGGTCGTGGTCGAATCATCGGGCGATGCCTCGTCTTAAGTCCTCGACAAGGCTCGAACGACCAGGAGAGTCTGATCTAGGATTCCAAAACGAGAATCTTGAGCTATCTCCAGACAGATGTTTGAGTTTGTTGGGAGAGATATGGGCGAACATCGAACCTTTGGCAATCTTTTTCGGGCCCCAGTATCCGTCTGCAGCCAACGCTGGACGCTCCGCGGGCTTACTCAAAAAGGCGACCAGCGCGGCGAGAGCAATTCCCGAAATGATGAGAAACGTCAGTGAGCACTTGACACACCCCATCTGGAAAAAAAATGCATTTGAACTAGTTTCCGAAACTTTCCGACGAAATTCGGTTCTTTTCGGAAAGACCTTCCCGGAGTCTCCGCTCAGCAGACAGAAAATATCGACACCTAGCTTGATTGAGGAAGTCTTCGCGAGGAACATAATTTTTTCCGTATCTACCATCCTCCCTGGCGATTCTTTCCGGGAGCGAATATCGTTAATGTTCGCGAATGAAAGTGAGCCTGGTAAGCGTGGAGGTCGACTAGATGTTCACTTCCTCTGAAAGGCGCTGCAGCGGTCGCGCAGCTGGTTTTTCACCGTCCTTATCCTACACAATGTATCATATAAGCGGGCCAAGCCCGCTTTTGGGGAGCAAGTGGTCCTCAAATTTCACTCCAGATAGCTGAATTCATTGCCAAGAATCGATGCCGGGAGCCAAACTTTCCTACGATCCAACGCTAAGCATGCTTCGAAATCTCATCAATCTTCCAGAAGGGGGGGACGCTGTCGGGTTTCTCGGCCGGGACAATCTCTAGATGTCTCCCGTATTCAGGGCGAAACTCGTCCTGGTCTTCTCAAGCCCGCAGTGTTCGAATCGAGTATCAAGGAATCTCGCTCGCGACGAGTTCTGGAAGTGGAGATTCCTGGAACTGTCATTTTCGAGTAATCGATGATCGGCTCCGAGATCTAGAAGCTCGATACGCTCCTACTGTGAGGAAATTATCAATGCGGGATCTTATTCTGGTCCGGAGAAGCGCGTCGATGTCTTATGAATGGGGTCCCTCAAACGATGCTTTCCCGGAGCGCGGAAGTGGTCGAAATTATTTCCATCCGAAATTTCGCCTGAGTCGGACACGATCAGTCCTTTCGGAGGCCGAGAGAAGCTCCGAAGGGCTCGGGGAAACACTCGTTCCCGACTTGGATCACTTCTCGAGTTCAATCCGCACTTCCATTGAGTTCCAATTCTCAAGAGTCTCTCCCGGATCAATTCACGCCAGTTATCAGAGCATCAACATGTTTTGACGATCGGAAGGAAGTCATTAGAGTCGTCGTTGAGACTCCGCGCATTCGATTCCTCCGTTTGGATGGCCCTCGAAGCGAATCGGCCACTGCTCACTGAGCTACCGAGAACCAATCACTCGGGAATCGATATGCATCATAAGTACGGATCTGTCGATGGGAGGACTCCCCCGATACGAATTAATGAAAATCCTACTCACGGCGACGGAGAAACAATCCTACTTTTCCTACAGACGTCAAAAGTCACACAAACACATCTAGCCGCCGGCTGTAGACTCCCTCTCCAACAACGCCACTCGACGCATGTAAGAGTAAAATGGAAGGGAATGATCCAGTCGCTGACAAGGCCATTCGGCAGCGAGCGTTGCCGTAGCGGCCGATACGGTCCGTCATTGCCAGGCATGACTTCACAGAAGTACGCGCGGCGGATAAGCATTTCGAGCCGAAAGAGAAAAACTTCTGTCCGAAGTCATCAATCAGCTTGCGCGATGTTCTCCAGGGAAAGATAAATGCCAGAGGCGGGAAGCTTGTCGTCCATAGTTTTCTGTTCGAAGCCTCAAATGAGAACATCATCTGAGGGCGGGGAGGTTCAGGACAAATCATACACAAGAGCGCATACGCAAAATCTCCAAGTGAAACGATCAATCTCTTCGGACCGCGTACCATGAGCTCGCAGAGTGTTGGTTTCCCGATCCAGCAGATCAAACGAAGCTATTCGAGTATCGCCTACGACGGAATTACTTGACCTTGGCGCGGGCGATCATCGAGCCCCTTACCGGACCCCGAATGAGCGCCTCCAATGGTCGTTGCGACTTGAAATTCTCTCCCTGAAAATCCTGTTCTAAGCGCCACTGTTTCGCTCGCGTCGAGATGTTCACGGCCGCTGAGATCCGGCCCGAAGCTGTTCGACAGCCTCGAGGAGCGCCTCCCGACAAAGTGAAAGGGCTTCGATATGGATCCCGTTGAAGGTATGCGTATACATCATGATCGCATGCACCTCTGTGAGTAAGATGAAATCGACGACGACATGGAATCGAGAAAGAGAGAGGAGAGAAAGCTCAATCTGGCGCCGTCCCCATCGCTCACGATATGGAGTCAGGGCCGCCTGCCCCTCAACTTCCCGTCCCAAGATTCTCGCGGAACTGCCGACGAAGCTGGAGCGATAGTTTGAGGAAGCTCCTCCCTTTTCAACTCTGGGATCACTTCAGCATGACTCCTTTCGAGTATATACGGCTGGTCAAACTCTGAGATCGTCTGGGGCGAGCACTCATTCTATGCAGCACGAACCTCTGAGCGGAAATAATTCCCCCTTTGAAAATCGCTTTGTCTCTTCCCCCGCTCGAATACGTCGGAAAAGAGCGGGCGAGAGCCTGGGATGGGTGGAATTGAGCTTCTCTCCTCATTTTCGAACATCATTCTCTGTGACCATTCCTCGGATCTTGGTTCCTCCGGAGTCCGATTATTAAATGGGCCGGAATTCGTTGTCGACGTGATGATTTGCGCTGGTTACGGTTTCTATGCTCTCGAATTGTTCTCCGCGTCCTGTCCCATCGACCAGCATTTCATCGGATACGGTATGTTTCGTTGTGTTTCCGACCTTTCAGTTCCTAAATACGGTCCCACGACGCGACGATGGGAGACGGGAAAATGCTATCCCGCCTCAGCGTCAGCAATGCGAAGGATCAATCGACCCGTTCCGATTCCCGGGAGTCCAGTCAACCCTCAGAAATTTCCGGCATCGCGAACGCTCACCGCTCATTGCTTCTGTTTCATGTTTACATACGAGGGCAGGTTCGTTCAACCCCTTGTCCAGGCCCTCACTCGTATCTTATACACTGTGGATGTATGAGCCTAATGTTATTTCCGTCGATTCGGGGAAGGCTCGCCTCAGAAAGACGGGTTTTGTGCGCGTGGTTCGTTGTTTGCATCGCACCTCACTTCTGATTGGATTGTGAATGCGCGAGCAGAGGCTGCCAGATGCCAGATACGACCACGTTGATGGCGCCCGACAACTACCCCAGGACGAAGGAGGAAGTTTTCCCTTCCTCGTGCCAGTTTCTCCATTTTGTGATGTCGTTCTTCAGCTGCATAATTCGTCTACCCCTTTACGTTGAAGGAACGGATTAGCTCCGTTCCTTGTGCCTTATCTATATTCTTTCGACTGAGGTCCCCACGCCGACTCAGCGTTTTCCTTGATTCTTGGTGAGCATCCGGAGCGATCGGAATCACGATTGACTCATCTTGGCTCACAGGCGGCTACGAGCCAAGTACGCCTTGTTGCGTCTTGAGCTGGGCCGATGTCGGCATCGATACGGTCCCCACCGACTCTCCTAGCGAGCCATCCGAAAGCAGTCACCGAACTGTCACCTTATCGAGTTCGATCCCTGAGTAGACGCTTGACATTGCGGTCGTGATGAATTCCGTCATTGCGCCCTAAACCGAATCTACCGTCCTTCACAAGCGTCGATATTAGGTCAGTGAAGTCCTCTCTCAGGAGCAGATGCGCGCGGCAGCCTCCCTCAAGGAATCAAAGTCACTAGCTCGCAGGCTCCTTCTCGAGTGGAGACACGCCTCTCGTGGATGACTGAGGAGTTTCTCCTGCGCCGAGTCTTTGGACTGGCAATGTACTGAAACTTCGTGGTCGGAATCCCTCCGGAAGAGTGATTTAGCGTATGCTTTTTTAACTTTTAGATTCCCTCTCCCTATCATCCAAAGGTCTATCAATCCTGTACGGATTGTTGCGAACGAGATACTTTTCGGAGAGAGAGTACTCGCCTGTCGAATCGGTTTCTCGAATGACGTTTGATGAAACGCTTCTTTCGTGTTAATGAGGCAAACTTCTTTGGTCTCAATTTACGATCAAATTTCTCGAAAAATTCAGATACCATGCATCTCGCTCTCTGTTTCTAGAGGGCTCCCCGAGGCCTCTTTTCATCGAAACAGACGAGACCAATGGAATAGGTGACGCACCACGTGTTTCCCACTAATCTGACGAACAGTGAGTCGGGAACATCAGGAGGAAAGCCACAAGGATGCCCCGACCGACAGTGTTCAATCACCTCGGAGATTCCGCTCGCGAGTCAAATGCTTGCTGAGAATATCTGAGAGATCCACCTTGCTGAGGATAAGTTTCATGAGACTGGCTTCTCGGATTCGGAAGACCCTCAGCTCGCAGCCCAAGATACGGAACTTGTTCACGTTCAAGACTCGAAGCACCGATTAATCCGATTCCTTCGGTACCTTCTGATTCCGCGCAGACTTCCGCGCGGAAGTTCCATCGCGACGCGGGGAGTATCTTCTATGGGACGAATTCGTGATGATATCGGTACCTACTGCGACAGCGACTCTCGACGGTGATATACGTACAAAACCGCTCCCGACTGAGAGCGATGTCGAGGATCCAAAAAAATATTTTTGAGTTCCTTGCATACAGCGGAGTCAACTTTGGAGCATTTCCGGCGACCTGCTGACGGAACGACGCTCGAAAGCTGCGCAAAACTCGAGGGCTAGTCTAGGCTCCAGGTGGTGCAGCCAGGAGTGGACTTTGATCCAATGGCATTTCGAAATATTTGTTTCCGCTTCCGAGAGGACCTCTGGGGCAGGCATTGGGACAGGGCTTTGGATGGCGAATCACTGCTTTCTCGGAGGAATCAGCCGCCGGCACGACGAGGATCGGAGACGTTTTTTTCCCTGAAAGCTTCCTTCGAGACTTTTAATTATCATTCTGATTCCCGTGCGCTTTTCGGGGCGGTGCTACCGCCGCTCAGGGTACAAATCGATCACTTTCCGTACGTATTTCCTAACATCCTCTGCCAGAGCCTTCGGTTCTTCCATGGCTACAAAATGTCCTCCACTACTTTGATAAGTAAGTGTTGTCAGATTGGGAAGCAGATCAGTCGCGATGAATCTAGGGAAACAGCTTATCTCATCCGGGAAAATGGTGTATCCGGTTGGAACTTTGATCGGTACTCTGAAAGATGCAACACATTCTTGCTCAAAGATGATGTGACGCGCAAATCGGGAAAATTCTCATTTCATGGGTCCCAACGTCAATCCCCGCAGCCCTGACTCACTTGAACAAGCTGAGCATGTTTCGGCTCAGGAAATTTTCTTTGTAGAACCGTAGACTTGAAACGGCCGATCGTGACGCGTGGTATACCATGACGTTTGCAAGCATATGGTCGACGGGAATTTTTCTGCCGAGACCACCGTCTATGAGATCCCGGTTCCTCTCATCGATTCCCGCTGAGAATTTCTCCATCATGTGGGCTGCTAGACCAACAGGAGAATTGAGGTGGGCAAGACCTGCAAACAGGTGACGAAAGAGTATCAGAAATCATCTTGCGAAACTTCGCGAACGCCGTTCATCGTTTAAGATCTCTAAGAATCGACTCCACGTGGAAATCCGGAACTTCATCCAAGGAAATTCCGCCTCTCACCAAGGGTATCCGGTTTCGTGGCCTGGATGTAGAAATAACCAGATTCGTGGAGCTGAGACTTGACGTCGACGGACATGCAAGGCGGCATGGGGCCGTCGCTGAAGTGTCCCGGGAAGGCTTTCAGAAGCAGGAACTTCGTGATAGACATAAGGGACGACGGGACCGACAAAAGCAGGTTCAGGTGAATTCCCCTCACGCTGCAAGAAGAACATCCGCGTCAGACGCAGAGAGAAGATGATCCATGATATTGATGGGGACTAGTGTTCTTCTACCACGGGACGGACGCACTGAAGTTTGAGCTGTCGTTGGAACGACCCAGCACTGTTTCGAAACTCACTCTTCTGGATAGAGGGTGCCCATAGCTGCGGTGACGAAGCTACCCCAGTCGCCGCCCTGCACGAAATACCGGGAGTACCCGAGACGAGCCATAAGTTTCTTCAGTATTCGAGCTGCCACCGCTACGTCGACGCCTGGTGGGGTTAAATTCGAGCTGAAGGCAAAGCACGATGGAGACGGCTCCTTTATCTCCCAGATAAACTCCCGTGAAAACAATTTACCGCTCTTAGTCGGCGCCTCCGAGAATCCGTATCCGGGAAGCGAAGGCACCACAATGTCGAAGGCAATGCCATCTTTCACTTCCTTCAATAGAGGAACGACTTTCAGGAACTCTGCAAATGATCCGGGCCAGCCATGGATCAACATCAGCGGTACGACTTCGACATCCGCCGATCGTGGTTCCACCGTGCTCCGGAAAAAGTGAATTTTCAGGCCTGAAGTCGAATCCGATTCATCTTTGTCGTGAAAAACTCGATCGACTTGTATCGGCAAATATCCATCAAGCTTTCTGCTATGATAATTAGAGTTCTGTGTACCGATGTGGAAATCATATTAACCCTCTATTTCGGTCCTGTAATGCGGATAGGCGTTGATCTCGGCGAGTGATTTGTTGAAGTCGAACTCGGTTCTCCAGTATTCCATAACATCCCGGAAAGATCCCAGATTGACTCCGTAGTGATAAGCAGAGTTTTCCACCGGCTCCACCCACCGTGTGTTCTTTATTTGCTCCCGGAGTCCCGCGATCAGATCAGCGCCATACTCGACGGTGAATTCGTGGATGGTTTCGTCGTCCTTCGGTGGAGTGCTGCCTATGTTCGCGGAGAGAGAGCAGGTCTTAGCGCCGTCACCGCGGATCAAATCGGGCGGCGTCGCATAATAATCGAGGGCTCGAAATCATACGCTTTCCTTACCGGACCAAGGTGATGAACTCACCCCTGGGAACTCTTATTGGGCCCCAATAGACGGTGTCAGGAAGCGATAGAGGACCCGAGACGAAGTCGACGCGCGCGAACAGAGCTGCCAAAATCACACCTGATCCTATCAAAAAGATGAAGCCACTTTTCCCACAGCAGAGAGCCATCGCATTAGACTTTTGTGGCGTTCGACTACCGCTTGCGGTTTTCGAAGAGACCGACTTGTTTGACGCTCGTTCCGACGTCCGTCCGCTAATGTGCTTCTGTCTGCGGAGTGTTATCGAGGACAGTAATCTTTGACGGCCTACCGGCGTAAGCTGCGATTGAGCGCGGATGTTCCGAACTGGGAGAGAGTGACAATGATTTTCGCTTTCACGCATGTCTCTCGGTCAGGGCAGCAAGTCGTGGCTGACGTTTGCTAGGAAACGTAATTCGGGCAGGCTTCCGAGAAAGCACTGGGACCGATTGATCGAAAGATCGAGGAAGAATAAACAAGCGGTCCGCTGGAAACCCTACCGGATAAGAAATCCGTTCTCTACGCATTCCCCGACAGAATTCCTGTCCGAACGACCGTCTGGATGGGAGCTCCAAATTCGAGTCTGTTGACTTCCGCCCGTCACTCGAACCGCGGCAGAGAGGGAAATCAACGCTCACTCAGTCAGAAAATTCCACGTCGGTAAATTGACGTCATAGAAAATGGAACAGTGCCACATAGGCAATGCTTTGGAAGCAGAAATACGGGTAATAAATAATAAATACGTCCTGGGGAAATGCACGGGATATTGGCGAGGATTGTGGCGAGTTCTTCTCCCTACGGCCAACTTCCCAAAGCCGTCGCTCCCCGGACCGCATACGAATGCACCGGCTGAGGAGCACTCTCTTCCGAGGAGAGGCATTGAAAATTTTCTGAACCAGATCCGAGATGTTCCAGAGCCGCCTGTGGGGAGTTCCGCGTCGCAGAAAACTGTAGCTAAGCCTCACAAAGCCCGGTGATTTATTATTGCGCCCGGAATATCTGACCCATCGGTTCGGGGCACCATCAGATGTTGAGCTGGAGGATGAGCGAAGACGTAACTAGCTGCGATCGAGGCATTCCATGGGCATGATTTGAAGATCTCTGGCGCTGCGATATGGAGCCCTCTGCTACGAACTCCGCAGGTATCGGATGAAGACAGCTTTTTTCAGTTAAAGATCGGTGGATGATACACGGAACGCGTAGAGTTCTCGAAAATCGAAGTCAGCGTTAGACACGCGCTTAACATTCGAGAGGATTCCCGTCTCAACCTCTCGGGTCACTTGGGAACGAGGCGAGGGCTCGTGGCACTCCCATTTCTCCTTAATGACCCCCGCTGCTCTGACATGTGAGAGTTGTCAGGTTGCTGAATAAAATCAGGTGTTAATAAAAGTAGATATTTAAAGAGCATGCTCGGTAATCAGAGCATGCCCTTCTATTGGAGGAACTATGGTCGATTGAACATGTTGCCCGCGAGGACATTCTCTTTGCAGAAGCGTGTGCCGGTCGAAGCCGATCTCGAAACGGAGAAGATCATGACGTTTGGCAGAACATCATTTATTTGATGACCCCAATCGTGATTCACGGGGTCCAAATTCTCCTCGGATGTCCCCGTTGATAAGTGTCCCTTGATATCAGCAGCCAGACCTTCGGGTGAGTTCAGAAGCGCTAAACCTGGTAATTGAATCAAATCATGGTTGTTATGTGTTTCGGTGAAAAAGCGCGAATCGATGATCGGACCAGCGCGACCCGGGCTAGTAGCCCAGTATAATGGGCTTCTGGGAGAACTTCGACTCAAATTCTTCGGTCCGAGACTCCATACACCCACCGATGGCGTCGAGCTGCGTGGCTTGGAAGTGAAAGGAACCGAATTCTTTCGCCGAAGGTTCCGGATCCCTCGTCATGCAGGTCTGAAGTTCTCGAGCAGCCGTTTCCGGATACTAAAACGCAAAAACGCAAAAAACAAACGCGAGAAACGCAAGAAACTTGTAGGCAAGGAGAACAACAATTACAGGTGTATGCCTCTGACGCTGTGGAGCGTGGATCAGCGAATGATCCAGCACCGTGCGAAATAATTTGGCAGGGAAGGTACCTCGATACCGGCTCGTCACGAGGTCATCCGAATCTCGGAACTCATCGATCCGAGTACAGAGTCCCAATTGTCCCAACAGCCACTGAGACAGTACTGCCCCAGTCACCTCCATATACGGAATACCGAGAATACTCAAGACGGACAATAACCAATTCATGGAAAATCCGAGCGGTCACCACGGCGTCGACTTCTTTATCGAGAACATGTCTTTCGAATCCACGGCCAAGTATTGATGGATTGTCGCATATTTGGATTTCATCGGGGAAATCGGGATTCATCCCCGCGGAGTGAGCCCTGCGAAAAAATTGTCAGCTGGAGAGTTCTGAGCTCAATCTCAATTCCATGAAAACGATTGGGAGTCTCTCTAAACAACGATTCCCGTCCAGTGATTCGGATGCGAATCGATCTTCTCGCCAATAAATTCTTCAAAGTTGGAGCTCATCCTCCAGTATTCCATGACGTCTCGGACGCTCCTCAATCCCACTGTGATCGGCAGAGTTCTCCCATGGCTCCATCTATACGGAACTCATTATATCTTCCTTGAGCCGTTCGATCAGCTCTGCTCCACGGTGAAATTGACGAAAGAATCCAATATTCTTTCGTCATCCTTCGGCGCAGCGCTCCCTCAGTATCTAGAAAGCCAGCTCCAGCCTATGCATCCGCGTTCGATATTGATAGGGGATCGCGAAATGGTGTTGACTCGGATAAACATATATGCAAAGGTCGCCGGTCGGATGGGAACCCGCCCTCCGGGAGACTCCCGGGTTCCCAATAATCGCTGACGGGTACCGATAGCGGAGAGACGCTCGGGCAGATACGCGCGATCAAAAGTGCCGAGATCGCGCCGGAGCCGACGATGATCAGGAGGCCTCGTTTTCGATTAGAGCGACTCGTTCCGTAGAAAAGCTACAGCGTCTCAATAATCCTGCGGCGAAACGAAGCCAACGAATGCATGTGCCTGACCCTTCTTACTAAGTTAGGCATTATGCTTCGCTCCAGAGAGTCTCTCTGTCAGGAATGATCGCCCTGGGAGCGACTCCTTGTCAAATTCGAGCATAAACTTCGACGGCTTACCGGCATCAATTGGATTGAGAATATGCGAGTGCGAAAGCATATTCTTCAATTATGCCGCGGAGTCGGGACGGAGAGAACAGAAATTCCGTCCCGAGCGATTACGATTTTTTGTTCGCGGAGGGAAGACCAACGAGAGGTTTCTCTGCATCTTGAGGCTTTTATTCTCGCGATTCCTCTGCGTCATGGATGACCCGCTCTGACAGAAGAGCTTCCAATCTCGATTTAAAAACTATGAGTGAGAACACAGAGCCTATGAGCTCGAAGAGACATTGTGCAGCACGATTACGTTCGGACGTTCTGGAGTCGAGACATCCTCCGATTCCAAGCAGACATGAGCTCTGCTCAAGCGGAGGATGCCCATCCGATTCGCATTCCGAACCCTTGATCACCAGGCTCCGAATACAATATACGATACAATCAGGAAGCGATATATTACAAATTAATTCGACGCGCTCCGAAAAGTATTATATAATACTACTTACTATATCCACATAGAACATCAGGAATCATTTCCTGAATACCCTTCTCTTTGTTTCAGTACCTATATAAATTATTAAACAGAATTACACCGTCTCACAAAACCATCAGCATTACAAGTAGATAAAAGTCGTGCTCGACTACCTCGCACCAGGTTTACCTTCTCTTTTTACGCAATTTACACGAGCGAATCTTTGCACAAGGCCGGTCCCGAAGGATAACCATCCGACTCATCTGCGAACTGCAGAAAAATTTACAAATTCTCGCTAAAGCTACACATCTAACAGGATTGAAACATTTGCATTGTCCTTTCGTGTGATATCCGTGATTCAGAGTTGGGAGCCGAGGAGTAAGAATACGCTCTCACGGATCTGTCGGGACAAAGTATCAGATCTTCGGACCCGTAGTCCAGTGGCGTGATCCCTCGAATAAGGGGCGGCGATCTGGAATCAGTAAAATCTAGTTTCAACTCAGAAGTTCTCCGAAGCGGATCCTTCACGGCAGGATCACGGCTAACCCCCGACGGAGACCAGAAGTTGGAGACCAGAGCCTCAGACATCGAGGGCCCGGGATTACTCGAAGAACTCACCGAGGATTAGCTCACGAATGTCGCATGAAATACTCCTGCTGTTCGAAAGCCGTTGGTTGTGACGCTCTCAAATTGAGTCGGTCGATAATGAATCGTTTCGGTGGAGCCGGATCGCTCTCCTCCTGACTCGGATGGCTGAGTTCCAAGTATTCGAGCTCGGCGCAGGTCTGCCGAAGAATCGAGTCCAGCCGCCGGACGAGGGTGGAGAAAGACGGCCTCTGGTTCGGATTCCAGAGCCAGCAGTCCAGCATGATGATATACCTTCGGAGAGACGACGATGTATCAGATGGCCGACAGATATGAGAAGTGAGAAGTACAGTAAATCAAGGACATCGATATCGACTGGCATGTTCAAGACACGGCATACTCCCGATTCATCCCAAGCACTCACATTTCGAGGGGGCAATTTAGCGGTCTGTCCATGCGTTTTCCCTCAGTCAGGAAATCGAGGAGCTTGTTCGGAGGCAGCGATGGGTACGGAGTTCCACCTAACGTCATGATTTCCCACAGCAGGATACCGAACGACCACCTGAGTTTTCGGATCAAAGTTGATTCAAATCCCGCATCACACAGTCTCTCGATTATTTGTCGATGTTGAAAAACGTGTCATCACAAAACCGGGAAACTTACACATCGCTCATCGAGGTATAAACTCGATCGAACAAAGCTTCCGGTGCCATCCATTTTAAAGGCAGCATTCCGTTCGTTATCTTCCGATAGTATCCGTTATCGTGAAGGTCTCTCGCGAGGCCGAAATCGGCGATCTTGCATATATTCCCTACAACGAGCACGTTCCGTGCAGCAAGGTCTCGGTGAATGCAGTTCTTCGAAGCCAGATATTCCATCCCTCTCGCTATTTGGAAGGCGAAGGAAGTGAGGTCCTTCGGTGAGAGTGTTTTCTCTGATGGCTGATCGCCTCCACCAAGAGGCTCGAGGTAACCGGAAGACGGTCGATGACTTCGCAGATAGTCTCGAAGGTTCCCATGAGACGCATATTCCACGATGACGTACAGTGTGCCGTCCTGCGTGCAGCAGCCTAACAGATTGATGATGTTGATGTGTTTTCCGATCACCTTCATCACCTCCATTTCAGAGACGAGATCGATCATTTCTTGGTCGGTGTGACCTTCCTTCAACATCTTCACGGCCACTACGGTCCGCGCTTCATCCTCCTTGATTCCGTAGGCTTCCGCTTTGAATACTTGTCCGAAAGCCCCTTCACCCAACGCTTGTCCCAGGACAAGTCGTTCCCGAGGAAACTCCCATGCCAAGTCCAGAGGCAATTCATACTCAAAGAATGACTGTTGTTTGTCCGCGAGTGCTACTTGGGTGGGGTATGAGGTTATCTTAACTTGAGGCGTCAGGGGCGTTGTCACCGATGACGAGCTGCACTCGCCGCTCAGTTCCTTGATTTCTCCATTGATGTACTCGAGGGTGATACGCTTCTTCAGAACGCAGACTTGCTGCTTCAACATCTGCATCTGCAGGTCCTTGCTCTTGACGATTTTTCTACTCCTCCGTCGGGCACAGAAGATCACAATCCCACAAACAAGGACCGATGCCATGAGCATCGCGAGGAAAATTTGTTTGTGATCGAGGGCGACAGGAGCTGCTACGGTCGGTCTTGGAACCGGCAGCACTGACAGATAGAACTCGTGATCGCTGAAGCCGGCGGCGTTGGTCACCGCGCACGTATAAAATCCTTCGTTCTCCGTCGAAACATTGGTCAGCTCGAGAGTTTTGCTCGTCTGGAAGGTGACAAGGGTAACCATCTGTGATCCTCTTCTTTGGAAAAAACTCGCAATCAGCCGGTATCAACCGTTGAAGTACTTACGCCGAGTTTCACGAAGGCTTCATCTTCATTCCGACGGTACAGCCAATGGAAGTGGGGTGCCAAGGCGGACACGGCTTCGCACTCAAAGGTTATGTTATCCCCTTTGAAGATTGTCTGATTCGGGAGATTCTTCTCGTATATGACAGGATTCCTATTCGAAAGATCTGAAAGGGGTTGGAGTCCATGAGCCAGGATCCTGAACCCCTCTAGACACTAAAGCCTCTCAAAATGGATGGATAAATTATTTTAGACCAGGGCTTCACGAGATGACCGGAAGAGAATTCCGAGAGGATTCGTGACCAATCTAATCGTATCGCGCGGTCACACTTCGAATGGATCACAAGTGATCAAGCCCTATCGGATGGATATTTAACTATTCAAATGGGCTATTGTACACGAAGTATATGCGCTAAACGAATAAATCTACTATTCAAATAATTTCCTGCGATTTGATGCACAACCACGGATATGTTCCCGCACGTTGAGACGAGCTCATAATCTATTCCAGGAAATTCGCTCACCGCTGACTTCAACTATGATTTCCCGCGAATTCGAAGCCTGAGCGTTCCAGGCTTCGCACTTGTAAGTTCCTTGATCGTGCGTGGTCATGGAGGGCAGCTGCAGCACCGCGCCATTTATGAGCACCTTCGGAAAAGAGAAATAGATTGAATGAATAAATGTCCTCCCCCTCGGGTCGTGGACGTCTGGAGATGAAAAGTTCTCCATTCATGGGTTTATTTTTTTCCAGCCAGTCAACTTTTTTGAGTTCGGGAGGCCCATGCTCTGCGTTCGGGGGACCAGTGGATGGATCTACGCACGACAGAGTCCCGCTTTATGCCGGAGAAGCCGACATCTCACGGCACACATGTTCCGGAAACGATGATTCCGGCGGGCCAGGCGCTGTGTGCTTGTGAGTCTGCTTAGCTGGAAAGCTAGCATGAAAGCGAGCAGACGGCGGGTGCGGCGTGAAAAAAAAGCAGCGACCGAGCGAAGCTAGGCTGCCTGATCCGACGTCGCTCTCTTCGGCTTTTTGGTGAGACCTCACGGCAGAAATAGTATTGATTCTCCGACTCATTCCACTCACCGGTTTATTGAAGATACGTTTTATCGGCTCGTTTTCGTAGGTCCACGTATAATTCGTGGCTCCGTCTGCCGTACAGTTCAGTTTTAGCGTACTTTCGGCGGGCACAACCTCGTAGAGTGACCACTCTTCCAAGAAGCGCAGTTTCTCCACGGGTTCCGATCCGCCGGTCGGTCGCCCACTGACTCCGGATACTGCCGTGAAGGTCAGGACGAGCATCGCACCAGCGAAATTCATGATTCCTGAAAAAACAGTTTACTTAGAAGCGTCAGCGAGCAGGAATGAGCCTGAAGCACTTGTGGTATTATGATCTCTTCGATTCTACTCCGAATGAGCGCCATGTAGCGGAACTGCTCGTTCCCCCTGAGACCCGTGGGCGATAGAATCGATGATGAGTATCGCGAGACACGAGAGAAATCGTGGAACGAGTTCCGCTGCGCTGCTTCGTCGGAGCAACGCTCCCCGTTTAGCACGTCGAAGATCGAGAAGATGCACGCGCTCAGAGATTTCCAGACACGATATAACCGAAAAAGAATGCCAGATGTTGATGAAACATTGTTCTCCTCGAACGCATCTGGATTCTCTGGCAGCACATCGGATGGAACTTCGTGTTCATAAAGCAGGGAAGTTTGTGTTGTGTCGTCGCTCGAAGCTCCGGCAGGAGGAACACCCGCGACAAGTTTGGTCGAATTGACTCGAAAACATTCGACTCCCTATGTAAACACGGAGTCCATAAACCGACCATAGAGTCCGACCAGTCGTCGAACTCACCCTCTCACGTGTCGTCGCTGGCCGCAAGAGCGGACTCGTTCTGGATTTCAGTGAATAAATAGATCCCACCGCGATCTCGCTCTTCCATAACGGAAAATCCGTAAGAATCACCCAATTGATAAGGACGACGCAAGCGACAAGAGATCCTCTGATGAGTCGTCAAGAGCGGCGAATGGTCATAGAGTCGTTGGAGCACCGAATCGACTTCGAACCATCGTCGAAACTTTTGTCGCATTCCTGACCTAGAAGGATTTCGACGACACTCCAGGAAATGTCTTTGCTGAGGGTCCGTCCCCGCAACGGATCCATGGAACTCCGTTCCTGAGGAAACGACGGACGTTCACTGCTGTCATGCCGTCATGTCAGTGTAGCCATCCCATTCCCCATTCATCCGGCCGCCACAAACGCCAAGGATCCATCTCAGGTCGCATGATCCAGAACCCCAAGCCTAGGCTATGGGAAAGAATTTGTTCCGACTTCGACCTGGTCGACAAGACGAGTTGTGGGGTTGGCTCTGGCTCCGAGATTCCGAGATCAGGAGCCCTGGACCCGAGTCTCCGGGCGCCATCTCGTAGTTCGGGTCAGCGTTCCCGGAACGCGTCTCCAGACTGGACTCTCCGTTACGATTCCCTTCGGACTGGAGATATTCCACACCTTTCTGCTCTTGGCTCCGGGTCTCTGTGACTGCGGATTCACAAGATGGCGCCCGGAGACTCGGGACCAGGGCTCGTGATCTCACCTTCTCGGAGCTAGAGCCAACCCACGACTCGTCTTGTCGACCATGTCGAAGTCGGAGCAAATTCTTTCGCAGGTGAATCCGAGCACCGAGAGCTTACTTGCGATCTGATGTGTACCCGCGGCTCGATAAAAAAACATCGGGAATAATCTTCAGATGATCCCATGATTCGGCATCGGTCCGAGGCGGTGAGCGGGAAGTTCATATGTGAGCGAGCGCGCCCGCTGAACGAGCTACGCTCGCTGGTATGAGACGTGTTCGCCTCTGGAACAAAGAAACTGTGTTCGAGGGAATTGTCTGAAGAAGTCGAGAATCAGCTCCCCTACTGAACGGCCAGCAACCGAGCAGCTAAGCAAGCAACAGATTGAACAACAGACCCATCAGTGTGTCCGTGGACACGTCCGCATCGAACACAAGCTACGAGGACCGAGTTCTTTCTCGTTAATTCGGAAGCCACCAACAGAGTTCCGCATGATCATGGAGATGCCCCGATCCGACGGGAGGCATTTCCAATCCTCGAATCAGGCTTCGAGATTCCGACGCATTAGACCCGTTAGAATTCATTGGTCTCGGCTCGGATGAATCTCGAAGATGAATGAAAATTATCCCCGAGCGGGGACGATTCCCTCCAAATCATTCCCTCAAGATGCACCGGTGCAGCCTCAAAAAAGTAAGGGCACGTTCGTCTTCGCTGTCCAAAGCGATATTCTTCTGTGTTCTTCCTCCGCGGTGCCCTTCGATGGTTGTCGCTCAGAAAGGTCCGCCGGCCGGCGCCATTCTGCCCCGAGCTCTCGGAACAGCTGTCCGGAAGAGTTCGGAGGGGAAACTCGATGCGTCTCGAGCGGGGACAGTTCGTCAAACTTCTCTCGCTTTCAGCAGACGGAGCGCCTCGATGCCGACCGCAGTTCCAACCCTCGGACAGTTGGTTTCCGTGAGCTGGTATTGAGAGATCTCCCGGACTGTGGTTTTTGCGCTTGAATCGAGCTCTCCCCAATGCGGGACGGATTGACTGTGCACACAAGGAGGAAGCTAAATGTTGCGCCGTTTGGTTCGGGGAGGCGAATCCGGCGAGATACTCGTGGATGAGCTGTCGAGCGCTGGAAAATTCTTGACGATTTCTGTCGGTTCCGCTCCGTTTTTCAACTTCCCGCAGTCAGCGTCGCTCATTCATTGACGAAATCGTGGCTCGATCTCGTTGGCGGACCGAGAGGTTTGATCGTGTAGCGATATCGTGACTCCCCCGAGAAATACTCGCTCAAGGTCCGGACTCTGGCCCGTCGGACTCCTCCCGGATTTCGTTCTTCGCGGAGATTCGTTCATCAATAGACTCTAGAATCGATCTCCCGGACTTCCTTTTCGGAAAACCTGGCGCCTTTCGTTCCTCCGCCCTGTCTGCATGGTGTCCGATGACCATAGGCGTCACGAGCACATGGACATCCGACCGAACCGAGCTCATTCGGAACTTTTGCCGCGGCGTGGCCAGCGACGAGGATGAATGGCATCCATTCAGGCTCGATCGGAGCGCTCGATCGTTGTTCATCTGATCTGAACAACGATCGACTTTGAGGGCGGTTTTTTCCAAGAGCGCGCCCGATTGCGACCGGCTCATCCGAAAGCGTGAACCGCTTTCCGCCGGAGTATGCGATTTTCAGGGAAAATAGGTGAAAGGGAAAAGAAGGTGAGCTCTGCCTATCGACGTGAATCGCTTTCCGATAGTCTCGTGGATGTCAGCACCTTCTGCGGCGGGCGACAAATCGTCGACAAGCGCTATGAGGCAAGGCGCCATTGTATTCGTCGCGGTTCTCGCTCTCGGAAACCTTTCCCGTAGCCTGACAGATGGCAATCTCTCCAGAGCGAGATCACTGGAAGCGTTCTGATTCCGATGAATTTCGTGAGTCTTCGAAAGCGATTTCGTGAATCTTGATAATGTGAAAAACCCAGTTCGATCGCTTCAAAGCAGCAGAGCGGGAGTCGTCCCTCACAGATGTGTTCCGATGACTGTCAGAGTCGAGCGCTCCTATGTTCACGGATAAAGTCGTCGAAAGCTTGATGTCTTCTAGATTTTTGGTTTTCTCGACGGAGAGTCAGGGACCGCCCCGGAAATCCACCTCTCCTGTCCTCGGGAAAGTCATCCCGGGTATTTCTTTCGATTGCCAGTAAGTTGGTCGGGACAGCCGGGCGGCCTACATCGCAGACCTTGGAAGGTGGCGACGTGCGTTTCTCGTCTACCTTGGGTGTGAGTGACACTGACCAAGAAACACAGCTCTGGCGAGAGAAGCACCGATTCGTTCTGCTCTCGGAACGATCGCAGAGCGAATCATCATATTACTGCGATGCAGACGAACGCCTGAGATATATCTTTGGAGTAGTTTTTCAGTTTTTTCCGATGCGATGTCCTAATATAGCTCTCATTCCGACTGACTTTAAACTCTCAGAGCTCGGGTCGAGCGAGCAGTCGCCGGCGCAGAGCAGTAGCCGGAGGAGCACGGAGGGAAGCCCGAGTCGGCAGCAGAAAAGATCCCCGCCGACATGTGGTTGTCAGAATACCGAAGAGGGAAGAGGAGCACCCCTCTTCTCTCTTTTAACACCATAGCTCGAGCGACGACCGCGTACTTCCAGATGTTGTTGAAGTAGGCGCGTGCCCCACCTGCTTCGGAAGAAACTGCGCTCTCGAGTTGCAGCTGCTGTCGTCGTCGAGTCGTTGGCCATCGGGCGCCGCGTCGCACGCCGTCGTAATTTCCTCCCGAAACGCTCTCTCCAGTGATCTCTGAGCTTTCAGATGGATTGGGTTATTCGTCTATTTTCAGAACGGGATCTCCAAGTTTCAGCTTCTCCGTGGACGCGGACCTTGTGCCGATCGACCGGAACGGAAACAACGCTGCATACACCGGATGAGATCGATTTCTGCGTCTGTTGGAGCGAGCGACGATCTCTGGTCGTTTCGCTTGACCAGCACAACAGATTAAGTTCGGCCTCGAGCGCATACGTATATTCCTTGGCCCAGGACCAGACAATAGCCGCCCAACTGCGGAACAACGTTCTTAGAACGCCGAGATCATCGAGTCTGTTGGGAGGATCTCCACCAGCAGCAGAGCTGGCAACCGGCTCGCCAACCAGACTTCTTTCAGGCCTGTTTATAACCGAGATGGCTTCTGGCGGAAACCTAGACTCGAACAACGGGAGGAAGTAGAAGAAACAAGGTCGTAAAAGCAACCCGTGGAAGATGAACAGCATCTTCACGCGCGCACGCTCTTAGCTTTTCATGGAGTTCGTTATTTCTCGTTCGATTCAGAAATCTGCCCCCGTTCGCAGATTCGGCCAGTCTCCTGAGATTTTCCGCGTCCGCACGAGGTCCAAGATCCTCGAAATCGGTCGTCGGTGCTGCCCCTCTCGATTTCGACAACACCCGGTCGCCTTCCAGTCAAACAGTGACAATTCGATTCGGGGAGAAATTCGTCTGCGATCCAGCGGGGTCGATCGAGTGTTCGAATGGACAACGCGTGGGAGGATGAATCAGTGAGTTTCCTGCTTAGCGCGAGGCCATGATCGCAGCGAGTATTTAGATTTCGAAGGCACCCTGATTAATAGACCCAACGGAGAGAGAGAGAGAGTAGGATCGGCGCGAAAATACGGGTTGGAAAACCAGCGGGAGCGAGACCCAGCCCACTTCTGAGTCAATGACATTCCGACTCTGCTGTTTATCCCGCGGCCGGATCTCGCGGCTCTTGGAAACTCCGTTGGTCGACGGAGTTCACGGCGCGGCGCAGGATGACTGACAGGTATCGGGACCGTGGGTCGAGACGACCCTAGTCGACGGAAACGTCGCCACGTTTCATACCGAGGAAGTGTCCGATCCTGTTTTGTCCGAAGGTTGTCTGGAACGGTGTCGACGACGGCGACACTTTCGCGGCGAAAGCCGCGATAAGATGACTGTGGAAGGGGCCCTTTTCATCTAATTGACAGCCGACCAGCAAGCACACTCTGTGAGTTTGTCTGTCCGTCTATCTGATCATCTGTCGCGTCACTCCCTCGGTGAGCAGCACATGAGCTGGAGGGATCACAATGGATCCCGAACAAAACGTTCGAACTCGCTTATAATAATACAAATGAGAGGAGTCGTAGAGAAGGACATTTCGACGGATTCGTCGACGGCTCCAAACGAAACTAACTAAACGACGTCAACGAAAGCAAACGTTATCGAACAAAGGGCATTCCCGAATTCCACGATGACGACGATGATGGACGAAAGATCGACAACGGTGGCATTATGCGCCGAGCGAGGACAAAAGAGTACTCATCGTCAGTAGACCCAGTACGGTTCTCGCTCGATGTCGGACGCGCCGTGGAAAACCGACAACAACAAATCCCGTGTGCCAGATCAACTTTCAACGCACTCGACCCAGGTGGCTGCGTGTCCATTGAGAGGGCGTAGAACGTGTGTGCCGCACTCTTCTGCCATAAATTTCCCACCGAAAGGAGGCTACGAGGCCCACGCGCTCTTTTTCACTCGACAGGGAGCATCAGAAGCCTAACGACCGCCACCGATTTCCTTTTCTTGGAGCTCGATCTCTCATCCGAGCTCGTCTCGTTATTCTCTTCTCCCCTCGTACTTGTCGCTCATTCGAATCTAGGTCTTGCGAGAAGATGCCCGACCATCGTTGGATAGAGGTCGGATTATTTCTCCCTCACGATTAAAGGATATTGGCAATCGAAGAAATCCAATACATTGGAATGGAGCCTCGACAGACGGTCCCTCACTTCTTCCACTGATTGACCCAATCTCCTTCAGAATCCTCCACTCGCATTCGCCGCATCTCTCGATCTCACGGATCCGAATCATCGGATGCGAATGGGTAAATGTACCCATTGGTCAGGTTATTTGTTTTTTTTTTCGTCGTGTTGTCGCTGACCTCGGACGGAGCAAACGGTTCCCAGGACCGCTTTCCGAAGTTGACAGTTGCTCAATGTCTCATCCACGCTCTCGCGCTCTCCGTGGAACCTTTATTGCGGTAGCGAGGAGAATATGTAAACCCGCTTGAGGCTGTTGTTCAAAAACGCAAATTTATAAATAGCGCGCGTCGAGCTCAACCAGAGCCTGAGCACGATCTTATTTTTGAACTTTCAATCTGCCCGCTTCGCCGCACCTGTCTTGTCATAATTCTCAGTATCCTGAAACACAGCTGAGGGTCAGGACAGGACTCGGGACCCTACGAAGGCTCCTCGCTCCGGAAGCTCAGACGATGATCCGGCTCCCCAGCGCTCCGAACTGATTGGGATCCCTCCGTAAATGTTGCTCGCCTCTCCGGAGCAGAATTTTCCGTTGTTTCCTCCGCTTTCTTCCGCCGAGAGGACTCACCCAGACTTCGAATCGACGGAGATGCGTTGACCGAATTTTCGTCGCGCAAATGGATAGGGCGACCGAGACTCGGCTCGATCCTCAGTCGGTTTTCACAGGAATGTTAGCCACCGATTTCTTCTTCTCTGGGGTCCGATCCGAAAACTGCATCCGGTCGGATGATCAGCTGTCAGGGGCAGCGAGGTACGTTGCACGTAAATTTCGAACACATAGCGACGGCTCCGGCCGCTACAGTTTTCGGAGAGCCTCCGAGGACACGACTGAAAAACGGCAATCGAGGAATACCCGGAGACCCGGAAAAGCTCCAATCGGCAAATTCCGTAGTCCAGTCGGATATCTTCGGAGGAACGAACTTTGAACAAACTCCCCCCCTCGTGATTCGAATCGGTGGATGCATGCATCCCGATCGTGGCCGGACAAGGCGCGAAGAACATTGTCGGCGACGCTGATACTTCCCCGACGACCGCGGGATTGTAAATATGGCAGGACGAGCGAAAGCAGAGCTGGAAGCCGCTTTGCTCAAAAACAAAACAGGCTTCGTCTGAAATACATGCGAGCCTTCTTTGACGAAATCTGTGACGGGCCGACGGACTGACTGCCTGACTGACCGGCCAGTCGACCGGCCAGCCCAAAAACCATCTCCACCATCTGAGTGAGCTACTGCACGAGGAAGAAGGGCACCGGGCTAGCGCACTCCCTGCCATGCGGCATCCAGATGTGGTAGTCTGTTCGAGAACCCATCGCACACGCGCTCGGGGGTTTGAACGAACTGTCCCAGGAACGAATTTTAAGCAATGTCCTCCGAAGAGGAAAGCCCTCTGCTCGAATTATTCCTCGAGCCCACTCAGCAGTACCCCGGAGCCCCGATCCGCTATAAACCGATTCCCAGCGAAGATTGCGAGCTTCGAGCTGCAATGTGCGCAAAACTCGAGTCGGGGGAAGCGGGGCCCTGACACAGAGTGCGGAGATTCTATATGAGACGCCGTCAGAAACGCGGTCAGGGATCGACGAAATTTCTCAATATTTAAGGCAGAGCAGCTCGGCGAGCTCGGGACGGAGAGCGCTAAAACAAATAACTGTGAGACGCAGATGTCATTTCCGAAAAGGGATTCGAAGCACCTGACTCGCGCGTGGGAGGTCTCGGCGTCTTCCTCGCCAGACCGAGATGTAGACAATGTTGTCACTCGGAGCCCCAAGGATTCAGTCGACTTCATGAAGGAGGAGCGGCGGTACGAGTCCATTCAAAAGATCACTCGCTTTAATTCCTCATAGGACAACTCCAAATCGCCTCCCTTGCAAGGGAAATCCTTTTCATCCCCACTGAATGAGGGGGTGGGGCTGGGGCATTGATTACGCGGCCAGCCTCTTTTTGTTTATCCGATGGAGGCTAGCGACGTTTTTCTCGTTCGGACTCGTTTATTCCCACGCTAGCGGCATCGATCGACCCTGGAACAATCCTCCCATGGTTCCGACAACCACAAAACAATGTCGTTCTGTCGCTCGAATAAAATCGATGCTCCATCCCTGAGCCTAAGAGTCAAGGGAATGAGTAATCTCCCGGTTGATCGACGAGTGCAAAAATATTCTCTCCCGGGCCTCGCCCGAGGAATAAATTCCCGAGGAACCCCTTGATGGAAGTGTGATTGCAGAATGACTTTCAAGACTCTGGAAGCCTCAGATAGCGTCGACTGTCTCTAGTATACGGACATCAAGCACTCGCGTGCGTCTGAATTGCCATTTTTGTGAAGAGCGAGAATTTCCGCACATATCCGTTTACGGCTCTAACCGACGACTGTGCCTCAATGGATGCCCCGGCCTGATTTTCAGGAGGGGCACGAGCAGAGGAACGGAGGCCTTTCCGAGAGGAAGACATCGTCGGAAATCCGGTAACTTATCGGGTAGCGATTTCTCGCATCAATCCAGATCTCTTCATTTTAATAATTTACTTACCGTCAGATACGATTCTGTCCTGAGATCTGATCAGAGGATATCCTCGGGGAAAATCACTACACGAATAACCTTATTTTCCAGTCGATCGGAGAACACTTGCTTCTTCCACTTTCCCTCGGAGTTTTCAATCCACATCGGGGTTCAGTCACATTCGTAGAGAGTTGAGGCTCTCGAACGCTTTTGTCGACGACGTCCTCCCTAAACGTTACCGTTTAGGTTTAGAACATCGCGCGGGTGTGATTTAGTCGCAGTCGATCTCAAGACGATCGACGTCAATGAAGATCTGAGCAGGCATCGTGGCTGTTTGACGAAGAAGAGAGCAGGGTCTCTCGGAGAATATTTCCTCCTCACTTTCCTTCCTCTGACCGACTGGCTGCTTGGCTGGCTGACTGCCTGCCTGGTCTCTGATCGTCTCTCTCAGCTTAACGCGCTCAGCGGCCTCTCCGGATAACGCCGCGCCGCGCACTCGACCATCGTCGTCCACGGCGACAAGGGCGAGTATGAGCGATTTTGAACTGACGTTGACCGGAACATCGCGACTGGGTACTTCATAAACGAAACGTTCCGCACGGAATCTGCGATACGTCGCGGCCCCTGCGAAAGACGAAAGCCCGAACCCCACGACCGTCGCGAAATCGAATGGCCGCGGGCCAGTTCTAATCGCGTTTATTACTTCTACTGAAACTGATGTTGAGACACATGATTCTCCTTCGATGTCCTATCAGGAGCCGGTTCCGCACTTCAATATCGAGCGAGAACGCGGGGCGATTTCTCAACGGGACGCTCCGAATTTGTAGCGGAAACACCGGAAATCTAAAATCATGCGATGTGCGGTCTCGCCATCGATCATGCGACGAAGGACTTCGTGGCGACATTCATGCCTTCCCATATGCCGACGTTAAGCAGCTATGAATCGCTGACACACGGGTCCGAGGTAGAAACTCCGGAAATGGTCGTGAGAAATGCTCGTGGTTCATCAATCTGACCACACGTCAAAGACTACACGGGGTTAATTTTTTGCGGGGCGTTGATCGCTGGGTCAAGGGATCTCGAACGGAAGAAATCCAGAACTACCTAAAAGGCTCTCCAAGATTTCGAATATGGGTCACAAGTGCCGATCGTTGCCAATCATGGAGCCGATGAGTTCAACGAGCCGCAGTGCTTGTGGTTAAAGCCATGAGCTGATCGTAGAGTGGTCGAGCACGACAAGAATTCTCGTCCTTTCGGTATGACGTCTTTCAGGAACGGCTCATGAAGTATTCCGGTTGTTCGTAGGCGACGATTCCCTTCGTTCCTTCGTTCTCCCTGAGATCAGTTTTCAAAGTATCGAGGGGGATCCGAGCCCCATCCGCGACGGGCGTCCGTTCAGAGCACGGATTGAGATCCAGGTAATCCACGTTTGCGCACATATCGAGGAGCAGAGCGTAGAGTCGTTCGACAAGATGAGAGAATGAGGGACGTGCGTGTGAGCTCTCGTTCCAGCAAGCTAGCATCAATCCGTATCTGGAAAGTGAATTGGAGAAGTCAGGAATTGAGCCATGTGTTCGTTTCACCCACCGATTCGTTCCGAGTCTCCGATAGTCCACGTTCTTGTGCCCACAATACAATCGAGCGAGAGTCGAGCATATTCGTCACGGTAGGACCCACATTTCATCGGGGCACTCCACAGGTTTTTCCAATCTCTTCCCAGCTTTCAAAAAATCGAACAGGTTCTCAGCGTGTGCCAAACAGCTGTAAGGAGTACCACCGAAGGACATCACTTCCCAAACAAGCACTCCGAAAGACCACCTGGAAACATAAGTGGAAAATCATAGCTCCCGGATGTAATGCGAGTAAACAAAAGAAAATAACGAAAAAAAAACAAGCTCTTACACGTCGCTCATTGACGAGTAAATCTGATCGAAAAGAGCTTCCGGCGCCATCCACTTGACAGGGAGTCTTCCGTTGGTCGTTTTGTGATAATATCCCGAGTCCAAAAGATCCCTCGCGAGTCCGAAGTCGGCGATTTTGCAGATTCCATCGTTCGCCAGCAGAACGTTCCGAGCTGCGAGATCTCTGTGGACACATTTTCTCGAAGCGAGATACTCCATGCCCCTGGCCACTTGGAAAACGTAGGAGACCAGGTTCTCCAGAGAACATCTCGATCCCCGAGGAGCTCCATCTCGAGCTTCGAGCGGTTCCAGATACTCAGGCTCGAGTCTGCATCTCCGTAAATGATCCCGGAGATTTCCCCCTGGAGCGTACTCGACAATTACTTGCAGTGGCCCGTTCTGCGTGCAACAGCCCAGCAGATTGATTATATTCATGTGTGTCCCGATTACTTTCATGACCTCCATTTCCGACACGAGATCGATCATTTCCTGATCAGTGAACCCTGGTTTCAACATTTTCACTGCCACCACAGAGCTCGTCTCGGAGCTTCGAATGCCGTAGGCAGTCGCTTTGAAAACTTGACCGAAAGCTCCGTGACCGAGGCTTTGTCCCAGAACGAGCCGATCCCGAGGGAATTCCCAGCGCGTATCGAGTTGTAGTTCGTACTCAGAGAAAGATTCCTGACCGTCTGACTTGGAAACGTAAATCGGTATGCGAGTCACTTTCACTCTAGGGTAGAGCGGACTTAGCGAGTCCGAGGTCGTCGTCGGCGTTGAAGAAAAGTCCGGTCGGCTCCCGTATTCCACGGTTATGCGCCGCCTCAGAACGCAAACCTGTTCCTGCAGGAGCTGCAATTGCACCACTCGGTCCCTTTCCAGATGCTTATGCGCTCGACGCGCGCCGAGCACGACTGCGCAGAAGATCACAAGCAGCGCGATTGGGATGAGGATGGACAAGAACAGGTAATTGCGGTAAACAGGGTCGGTGGCGATTGACGGGACAAGAAACGGTGCTTCGGGCTTGGGTAGAACCTCGACGAATAGCTCGTGACTGCTCTCACCCGCGGAATTCATCACGATGCATTTGTACAGACCCTCGTTTTCCTTCGTCACGTTGCGGAGCTCCAAAACTGTCATGACCTAGAGGTTGGAGAGGCGGGGAAATAAATAACTCGAGTAACAGTTGAAGGAGATGTGCCAAATTATTTGTCACTGCCCGGGTCCGGCAGTCCACCGCTCCCCTAACGAAAGACGATATCGAGATTCTTCCCCTCACCCCGAGCTCCTCCGTCGCAGAGTCCTCCACGGCAGTGGGCCGGAAGACCCAGAGAACTGATGGTGTGAGCGCCGAAACCGCGTCGCAGGGCAGCGTGAGGTCATCTCCAATGTAAACAGTCTGGTTTTGGAGATACCTTTCGTATATGACGGGCTTCGTGTTCGAAAGCTCTGTGGAGTTTCGAGGGATCCTATGAGTGGTGGCAGAGACGCGAGTACCCAATACTCCCACTCTGTTTGTCTTCCGGATGGTCTGTTGACAACAGTTTCCGAAGCTTTCGCATAACTCACCTGTGACTTCCACTTCGATCGTTTGCGAAACGGATCCAAATTCGTTCGATGCGGTGCACGTATACTTTCCGGCCTCGTCTCGTGTCATTCTCCGAAGAGTTAGGTCGTGCTCATCGATGACAACCTATCCGATCGGAAAAATTGAGCCCGGCATCTCTTCAACAACTTCAATACGACTACTCTTAGATGAGAAATGGGAGGATCAATCGAAACGAACGGGTGAAGACAAACATTCTGGGATGTGACGATAACGTTCGTCTTCCGAATGCATCCATTTTCATTTTCAGACTTCGAGGTCGTATCGTGGATCCGACTCACTTCTCTGCCGAGATATCTCCTGAAGTGTTCGTCGAATGTCCAATTGTAGTTCTGAGCATTCGAGGCCTTACAGCTGAGTCTCAATGTGTCACCGATGGCGACAGCGGTGAATGGGCGCCAGGGCTTCAAGAATTCGGGCTTCTGTGACTTCACGTCGCTCGACGCGAGCGAGGCTAGTACGGTGAGGAGATAGATAGAAAGCATTTCCTCACTGGAACGATTCGAATGAGAGAGAATTCAATCATGGGCCTGCGATGCGATCCGATACCATATTGTGCGAATGAGGGGAACGTCAATGTCTTTCAGAATATTTTGCGGAGGAAAGTCGTTCCCTCGATATCCCATCCCCGCGATCCCGCGGGGGTCCTATCAAGGTTTCTCTCCTCTGACACCAGTCGTCGGTGTGCAGAAAGAGGGATGACGACGGTAGCTTCCGCGATGGGCGGAAGGTATGTACAAGTAGTGGAAAAAAATTCCGTAATCGAGGAACATGGTCTGGGATCAAGGCGAGAGGAGCCATACTGCTAGCATGGTTCCCAGAAGTACTCAAGGATCCTGTGGGTTTCTCCTGTGTGACCGGGACGTTTTCCACGAAATGAAAGCGGAGGTCGGTTCTGTATTGGTGCGAACTCTCCTTGGCAAACACAGCGATTCCTGAAAGCGCTGAGCGAGCCACATATCGTGGCTGTGTACCAGCCGAGCTCACTACGGGTCTGGTGTTGATGATGACGTCGACGACGATCGCACGAGAAATTCGCTCAAAGCTTCGACGAGTGAGACGATAAACGAACAAGCCAACGAAGCACCAGTCTATTTAGCCGGACGAAAATATGATCGAATCGTAATTCTCGCTACCCCTACCTCGCATGCCTGGCGCTCGCAAGAATCTCGAGAGCGGGGGTCAGTCCACGGTCTTTCTCCATTTTCCGGATCCGCGTAGATCGAGGAGAGAATTTCCAATAGCTCGATTTTCAATTACTAATTCCCCGTCCAGGGCTTTCCACCCTCATTGTGACCGATAGAATCACAGAATTATCTTGATTAACATCAACCTCCTGACCTCTTCCCAGAATAGGTTTTCGGCTGTGGACAATGACCGGCTATGCTCCTCTGTTAGCCATTTCGAGGCAGACGTATTGATAATCGCTTCCGAATTTCCATAGCTTGGAACGCGTGATGCATATCGTCGTCTCGCCGCGGTAAGGCGGAGCTCTTCGACTCGAGCATATGGGTTCCCAGGGAAATCTTCGAAATTGCACAGAGCAGGACTAAAGAGATCTCTGGCATTTGAAACAGCCGAGAGCCACAAGATGAATGAGGGACAGTTCGTCAAAAATGTCTCCCAAAGCAAACTAGAGGCTCTCTCCGCTGCCGTTTATTCTGAGCTCGTCGAAAAGCGTTCCCTTACCCGGTCCGTTTGGTGCTCGCTACCGGCGTGCTTCACTCTGAGTGTTTAGATAGTAAAGACAGCCTTTCCGAGATCGGACTCTCCCTTGCCATGAGCTGAGCTCCGAAGAAACCGTGCCCTTAACGTTATTGCAAAGACGGATTGATTGTTGCGGGATCAGGCCTTCCCCCGATTGACACCGAAAGTCGGAGCCTGCGCTCAGCCCGGGGGATTCTCTCCTCTCTCCACCACCTATCAGACAGCGATCAGAGACAGTGCCTTGAAAAAAACGTTCGACACATGGTTCCGTTTGCAGGAAACACCTTCCATGGAAATCCAGCTCTGAGAGAGATGGTCAGGAAACGGGACGGGAAGCGGGGATGGACGTATCGAGGAGTCGCGGCGGGAAGTTGGATAGAGAGGGCATTTCATCATCGGGCGCTCTGGTTCTCGGCAAGCCATCTCCACGTATGGTCTGTGGTGCGCAGCCTAGAAAGAAATTGTATCAAATATACATAGTCGCATCGGCGTCCCTCGCTGAATCCGACGAAGGAGGGAGGAGTGTGAGTTTCGAACTTGCTCTCGATACTCTTGAGTGGGTGAGACGCTTGGGAATCCGGTGAATCGAAAGTCGTTCTGCAGCTCATGTGGCTCTCTCTACGTCGAGTTCTAATCGAAAATCTCCGTGGACACATCTGGGATTTTTGAAACGATTTTTGAGAGAACGAATGATGCTGGCTCGGAGCTACGGACTGGGAAACTGCGCGGAACGCAAAATGAGATCGAGTTTCCCGATGTAAAGCATGCGAGCGTTCTCAGAGAAACCGAGACCGCATAGACGCGTTAATCGACATGATGCTTGGGTCGAATCACAGGACTCAGGGTCGTCTCACAGAGGGAGGGGTCAGCATGACGCGTCAAGGCCTTTATCGACGTCGAGAGTTTTCATCCACGAAACACGACCGTGGGGAATGTCCGAGATAAATCGAACAGAAGAGACATTTATCCCAGTCCACCTCCCACAAAATCGAAGGAACAGCGAGCCGGATCGGACTTTGAATCCGGACCCCCTATGAACATTCGCCGAGCTTCGAATTCTGAACCCGACTCCCAGACACAACTTCTGTAAATCAGGACTCTTTGGAGAGAGCTCACGTCGATAAAATCAGGAGCGACCCCTCATGTGGTGAATCCATTTCTTGTCTTCTTTGGAGATCTCTTACAGAGGACAGACGAAGATCCACTTTGGACAGAGATCTATTCTGAGACCGTCATCCGACTTCTCCTGTTCATACGACTGGATTATTAAGTAGGCCAATCTGAGATCGAGATCATTCTGATTGAGTCAGTCTGATCGAGACTTAGTCGTCTGTTCGGCCACTTAGACGAACATTTCCCCGTTCCTAACTGGATTCGTTGTTTCTGTCGAGACCCCAAACCAGCCAACACTGATCGACTGGCAGATTTGTTTATGAATACTCGATCCTATTGTTGCTCGTTCCTTGGAGACCAGTCCGAGAAAAGAATCGAGAAGCCGCATTCACGGCAAGGATTATTTCGTCAGACGAACGATTCGAAGTACTGGTTGGGTTTGGGAAATTGGGATCATTATTCATCATGCAATATAGGAATTGGTCCTTCTTCCGAGAAGGTGCGCGATGGAAGCTGTCAACATTTTGAAAGAATGCGCTCCACGAAGCTTGAGCTCACCATTGTCGCCAAGTTTGTTTCTCACCGCAAGACCGAACTTTTGAGCGTGAGACGCGGGACATATTCAGCCACAAGACGAGGAAGATCAGAGCGGCGTGGAAAAACGACTTCTCAGAGTTCCGAATCATAAAGTCCCCCACCTGGATGTTGAACGGTCGACTAGCGACAGTCCCAGTCAACTTTGATATTCTTCCATTTGCTGTGGGTGCGTGAGGAGCCCTTTCGGTTTTTGATCGCCGCAAACGTTTTCAGTTCGAGTTTGAAGAAAACCAAGAGGTCACATCGAAGCTGATACTCTCCCCCGGCTTATTCAGCCGATTTTCGACTGAGAGCCTCCAAAGCCCGGTGGCCGAGGCAGTGCCGCCGCGACAAGTGTCCGGGATGCCGTCTGATTTCCGAGTGTTCAGTTCACAGTCTATCCTGTCGCTCAGCCGGTCGCCAAACACTCTTTCGGAAAATAGTGAGCGTGATGGAGACGCGCGTCTCGGGAAGTTCGAGTATTGCCTGCTCTATCCCATCCTCCACCAGCGTGGAAGCGACGCGACGTTCAGTGATATGGAACGAGCGAATATCTTCATCTTTTCTTTAGTTCCATAATTATTGTGGAGCAAAATTTCGAACTCGAACGCTCGCAGAGAATGCGTTGATCAAGTCGGCGACCTGCGCGTTTTTACATTGCGTTCTCGCCCTCGGCATCGCTTGCGAGTCTCTTGCACACGCTCAACAAGAAGCGATGGCGTGGAAAGACAATATTTTAGGGAGGAGAAAATAAAATTTCGCTCTTGTTGATGATACGATACGCCAGGTGTCCGTGTATGCCGTTGGATTCCGTAGACACCGGCGGTCTCCCCATTGGATCATAAATTCTGCCCCGTATAATGAAAAGGAGGCCCAGACGTTTTTTCTCTCGAGAACTACAGTCTCAATTCTCGCCGAACCTACTGGACAATTCTCGTTCTGTCCCACAGGCACGCGGAACTTCGCGAGTTTCCTTCATATTCGACGGCAGGCGGTACGGGGTAAGAATAGGAAACCAAGAAAGATCATAACAAATCTTGAGCTTTCGATGAATAATGACTAAAACAGCAAAGCATCAATGCCACGTATTTGATTCGCATCTTTTTGATCCGGGCGTGTTTTGTTACGAATTCACCAACGAGCTCCAGAGGCATGGACTCCGGAGAGCATTAGACGCCGCGACGCATACGGAGATCCATGCCGCACAGAGCCACGAGGCCGCCGCGACAATCAAAACCTGCGAAGAAATAGCGCATAGAGAGGATTGCGAATCGCGGGCGTAATTTCTGATACCGGAGAAGCACCCCGACATAGCGGGAACCGTCGCCGTCGTCTATGCATTGCGATACGCAGAAAGATTCCCTCCAATAATTACGAATCATTATGCATTGTGATACGCAGAAAGATTTCCTCCAATAATTACGAATCATTATAGGTCACCATCCTGAGGAGTGAGGCCGAAGCACAATGGGCATTCTCAGTTAGGCTCGCGAGGCAGCTACTGTCGGTCACCGTTGCTCAGTCCAATCGTTCGTAGCTCCGGACGAAAGGAAGAGAAGGAGGTTTTCGAGCGACTAGCGATCGACCATCAAATCCAACAGCCAACGGACTCAAAGCGCGAGCGCCGGCGGCTGAGTAGAGGGCGGTCAGCGCACACAAGGCGAGCAGATGTGATCCCCCGATATTTGTCAGAATCTAAAACAATCCTTGTTGCGCACGCCGCCACACGTCTCTATCTCCGCGGCGGATTTTGCGACGAGGAGCTCGACGAGCGGTCCGCTGACCAAGCCTAGCGCGTGAATATCGAAGGAAGGGCCGCGGTAAACGTCCGGAAGGGGCGCATCCAGTGTCGATTCGAAAAGTCCGGGACATGACAATATATGCATAGCGATGCTTCCCGCTCCGAGGATTTTCCGTCGTATCGTCCGGTCCTTCCAACAGCAATCATATTCATCTGACGGTGAATAAATCGATGAGAGAAGCCGAATCTGTCCCCGCATCGACATCACTGCGCCGAAACGAGTGATGGAATTTCTACTCGTTGTCTGCGGATAGAATGTCCTCGCATCCGAATAGATTGAACTTTGACCATGCCGCAGATGAGGCTCGACGTGACCGCCGACGAGCCACTTTCTCACAGAGATTAAACTTCCGATGAAATTTTTCTCGGCAAGTTTTAAAGCGATACGAATCCCAACGTGGAAAACTTACGCGCATCCTCGACTCGAGACGGATATATCGCCTTACTTATGAACCACACTGGCACAGGCACTCATAGGCACACTGGCATCGCTTGGGCTTTTTTCCAGGAGAGAATCGTCGTCATAGCGAGGTCCTGGGCACGGAATTCGTCAGACACGGTCTGTGAAGTCAGAGTTTCGAAGGTGATCGAAACGCTCGAGACTTTTCTTTGATGAGGCGTCCCTCGAAGATCACATCCGTGGGTGAAGTCGCTCGACTTGCTCCTTCAAATGCGAGAGCTCATTTACATTGGGAGGGGCTCAGCGCCGGATGCCATCTACTCATTCTGTAGCTATCGTCTGGTCTCAGTTCAGCGTTTTTCAAACACCTTGTTTCAGGCTCGGAACCGGCTCTCACGGAAAATATTAGGAGCTATCAATTGATTGCGATAGGCATCACATCAACTCATCGTGGGATGGCCTATCCGGACGCCACCTAGGAGCATTCCTCACCGCTAACTCTACAGTCCATCGATCATTGCTTTGGATCACACAGGGGGCTCGTGAAAAAAATATTCGGACAACCGGATTCCTCGAAAAACCGGATTCCCTCGAGCACGTCAGCACG